TTCCGGCTGCTGTCGGTTTTCTTCTAGGGACACAATTTGTGTGTCTTTGCTTCTGTGTTCGCTTCCTTTTTAATCTTTCCCGTCTTTCACCTTAATTCTAAGTGATCTCCCGCACCGTGTCGGCTAGACCGTTCCGAGAGAGGATGCTCGCCTGCCTGCACCGAGGAGAGGTGCGGACGGGCTCCGCGATGCCGCGACAGGGCGCTTCCTGGACGCTCACTACCATCTGGAAGGCTTTCTGGTTAAAAAGAAGTTTAAGGAGACAGAGACAGAAGATGAGCAGGAATCCCAAACAGGTAACCGTATTCTAGAAAGAGAGAACATATCTATGCAAAAGCCCAGAGACCAGAAAGAACGAATCTTCCTGAAAAAGAAAAAGAATTGAGCTTAGAGGTACAAAATGGCATCAAGAGCCCCTGGGCAGGCAGGTCAAACAAGTCTTTATGAACCAAATAATGGGGTTGGCCTTTTTGCTGAGGCCTGAGGGCAGCCAAAAGCCGCTGAGGGATTTAAACCTGGGCGGGGCTGGATCACAAAGCTGGGGCCTCAGATCCAGGCTTTGTAGTGATGGGGGGTAAAGTGGCCTCCTGGACTATTGGGAGGGACTGTGTAATAGAGAAGTGGACTTAGACTCTGGAGGGAACAGAAGAGCCCTGAAAGAGCCCTCTGGGACTGCCCTTCAGTGGGGAGGAAGAGGAGGAAGTGCAGTTGGGTGCCTATTGGGACATCCAGGTGGAAAGGATTTGGTACCACCCGGGAGGAAATGCTCTCTATTTGTTTGTCTTGCTAGAGGACACTTGGAGAGGGGTCTGCCAAGAGTTCCCTTAACCATTTCAAAGGGTCACTGGTTAGTGCCTTCCTGAGGCAAGCAAGCCTAGTATCCCAGAGGCCATAGGGTAGCATCTGGCACAGGGAGGAGGCCAAGGTTGATCTCATAGCCAGAAAAACAATGACAGGGCTTGATACAGTAATTCTCTGAACAGGCCTAGGAACACTGGGTGTTCCAGGCTGTACCAGGCTGCACTACCCTGTACTACAGCCTCATGTGTGTAGTCAGAATTCATTAAAATTAAATTTTTGGTTCTTCAGTCTCGTTAGCCACATTTTAAGTGCTCAGTAGCCATGTGTGACGTGATATCTATCACAAAGGACAGCACAAATATAAAACACTTCTATCACCAGAAAGTTCTGCGCTCACAAGGATAGTGACCACTCAAGTCCTGAGTCCTGGGTACACACAGGACATGACTAGTGCTGCTTATTCTCCCCTGTTCCCCACAGAGCCAGTGGGACAGCCTCATTCTGGGGATGACAACCCAGACGTGGAAGGCTCAGATCTCTCTCCCAGGGTGTATTAGACAGGCAGGATTTGAACCCAGAACAAGTGATTCCCAGACCCACAGAGCTGCATGGTAGCTCCCTCAGGAAGCTGAAGCCTACAGGATCTCATAGATAGAAAGTGGAGAGGGGGTACAATATGGGCTGAGTCTTATACTTCTATAATTTATGTGGGAAAGTCCTAACTCCCAGGTCCTCAGAATGTGACTTCCAATTCCAAAAATAAAAAATAAAAAAAAGGAAAGGAAATTTTGACACAGACCAGGACAACCATGCAAAAACATGGGGAGAGGCCTCCAAGGAAGAGGCCCGAGGCCCTAGACTGCGCAGCCTCACAGCTTCCAGATTCCTGCTGCTGAAGCCACATTGGCTGTGATATTAAGGTAGCCTTGGATCTAATTCGGCCTCCCCACAGATTGGGTCTTTTGTGTTAGCTGACTACAATATCATGAGAGGGCTGGGGCTCAAGGATGGAGCCCTCTCCCAGCCCTGGTTTCCATCCCCAGCACCATAAAGTATATATAGATTAAGTGCAACATGTACACAGAAAGAGTTAACTCTTGCCAGGGGAGCATCGGACCTGAGCAGGGTTGCACCTTGGATAAAGGGTGAGGGACAGGCGAAGGCAGCAAGGTCCCCTGCATCTTCTGTCAGGCTCTGTAACTAGGATGTCATCCCATGGGCACCAGAGCCAGGAGCCACCAAAGGACCTTGGAAAACAGATGTCTGGGCAGAGAATGATGCAAAGGAGAAAAGACTAGAAACAGGAAGGGCATTTAAAAGGTCAGTGATGAGTGGCCAGGACCAAGGTGGTGGTCATGGAGATTGAACTGACAGGAGAGACACAGCAGAAGAAGAGGAGGGACCAACTGATCCAGTCAAAAGGGGGAGCGGGAGGAGTTGGGGTGCCTCCCCTTTGGGGCTTTCTGGGGGATATAATGTCACTAGAAGAGAGTAGCCTAGGATGAGGAAGAATAAGCTCGGGACATCTGGGTTCCACAATTCACCGTTTTTAGAGGCAAAAGCCATGGGCATGAGTGTGAGTGCGAGTGACCAGGGAGGGAGGAGGTTATCTGCAACTAAGAAGTGTTGGAGATTGGCACAGCCGAGAGGAGATCAAGAATATGTAACAACTAAACGTCATGCAGGGTCCTAGACAGGATCCTGAAACAGGAAAAGGAAATTAGGTAAAAACTTAAGAAATCTAAACAAAGTATGGGCTTTAGTTTAATAGTGTATCAATGTTGAATCATTCAGTGTGGCAAAAGTATATAAGATGTTATGATATGGAAAGCTGGACGTGGCATCTCTGTACTGTCTTTTCTGTGTATCCAAAACTATTTGAAATGAAAGGTTTATTTTAGAGTATTGGTCTTGGTAAGAAATATGTTGTGTTCTAAAAGCTGAGAAACCCAACTAAGGTGAGAATTTTCTTTGACACATGAAGAATCCTTTTGTTCCCCTGGTGGATGCACAGTTCAGTTCCCTTGGGGATCTCAGGAAGGGCTTTGCATTGCCTCCCCCAGTGGGGAAGAGCACATCCCCCCTGGGTGCCTCTTTACTGAATGAGTCAGGCTGTGAATCATGTCTAATGTTATGCTGCGCCCTGGGTTCACCCCTCCTTGAGGGCATGTTAAGGTGGCAATAATAACACACTTCACATCCAGCCTAATCCTTCTTTGTGACATGTTGGCAGAGAGGTACATCCCTGTCAGAAAGAACCACTTCACGTTAAAATGTTCCCACATCTACCTGCAAACATGGGGATAACGTCCCAAACCCTGCTCAGATCCGATGCTTCCCTGGCAAGAGTTAACTTGTTGCCCTGAACTAGTTAGTGTTTTGGTTGACACTTGCAGCGGGATATTTTTTCACTGCGTGTGACATATAACTTCTCTGGGCCCCCAGACATTGTGACAACCTAAAACCACACCACCCATTTCCAAACATGCCCAAACCTATCTCCCACCTATTCTGCCTCCTAAGATCAGTAAACTGTGAAATTAAACTGAGATGAAAACAACCAAAAATGTTAAAGGAATAGGAAAACAGACATACTAAAAAGAAGTTAATTACACATGATAAAATCATAGAAAACTTGAAACACTCGGGAGTATAAGATTAGGGAGATCTGAAACAAATGGGTGGCACGTGCCTATAATCCCAGTGGCTTGGAGGCTGAGGCAAAAGGATTGCAGGTTCAAAGCCACCCTTAGCAACTGAACAAGGGCCTAAGCAACTCTGTGAATCCCTATCTCAAAAAATAAAAGGGCTGTGGAAGCGGCTTAAGGGACATAAGTGCCCTGGGTTCAATCCCCAGTACACATTAAAAAAAAAAAAATGTGGGGCAATCTGAACAGATAGGGGGGTTGTACCAATGTCAGGACCATGGTTGTGATATTGTACTACTACAGTTTTACAAAATGTCACTATTGGATAGGGGTCCGTGAGAGTTCTCTATATTATTCCTAACTGCATGAATGTACAGTTTTTTTTCAGTACTGGAGGTTGAACCCAGGGGTGCTTTACCATTGAGCTACTTCCCCAGCCTTTTTTTTTTTTTTTTTTTTCAGACGGTTTTTGCTAAGTTGCCCAGGTTGGCCTTGAACTTGCCAAGCCTGTCCTCAACTTGAGATGTTCCTGCCTCGGCCTCCCAAGTAGCTGGGATTATAGGCACACCCCACCACTACCTGGCTAAAGTGCAATTGTTATCACACATAAAAATTTCAGTTGATAACAAAGAATTCAAGGGCAGTCATTGCTTAATCATAAATGCTAATTCTCTCTCTCTCTGACCCTCTGAACTCTCCTACTCCCATTCAGCACCACCCAGTGGGCAAAGGTCTGGTATAGACTCAGGGAAATAGAATTCAAGTCTTAGCTCGGATTCTCTAACTGTGGAACCTTGAGTAAAGTACTTAACCTCCTGAATTCAGTTTCCCCTCATCTGACAAGGGGCAGCGGCAGGACCAACTGCATGTTGGAATGATCCGTGGCAGCTTTCCCTCCCTTTCCCCTCCCTTCCCCTTTCTCCTCCCCATCCCATGGCGGCCAAGGGCCAGGACTTTTCACCACCTGGCTAAAGAGACTTGCCCTTAAACCGGGCCCCTAAACTCCGCTGAGCCTCCTACCTCTAGTGACCTATATAGGGTCCTTCTACCTCTAGTGACCTGTATAGGTATTGTTTCGCCTTGCTTACCCTTTCTGGATCAGTGAACTTTGCCTGCCTGGAGCGCCACTGCCCCCCACCCTTCTCAATAAAACTCCTTTTGGTGCCTTATTCTTGTTCTGTGGTTCCTGGCCTCGTGACCCTTTTCTGCTTTACAATCAGATGTCCTACATAAAGTGCCTGGCACAAGACAGGCACTCAATAAATTCAGGAATGCCTGCTCTCCAGTCTTTTGTCTCAATTTCTCAGCCCCCACTTTTCTCTGTGCAGTACCCTCAACTCCTTCAGAATATGTTTCTGGCACTGCACCTCCCTGCAGTCCCTGGGCCACATACTCAACCTGCCTACAGACTTCCTGTCTCCTGGGGGTGGGGTCAGGGGAACCTACATGCCAGTGGAGACAATTCCACAAACACAAATGTGGAGGCTGAGCCGAGCCAATGTTCCACATCCCGAGTGCTGGCTTTCTAGGTCAGCCAGCTGCTCACTTCCTGCCCCACTCCCCCAGGGTGGCCAGCTGCGAGTCAGCAAACCAGCACCTGGAGGGCTATATCAGGACTTCTTGGCACCAAAACAACTCGGAGGGCAAGGGCTGTTCTGACCTCTGGTATCCAGGGATTGGCCATCCAACCCTCCCTCTGGCTTTCCCACCCACACAGTTCCAAAGGTCAGGACTATTAATGTCCACCCTGACTTAGGATGTCCTGGGGTCAAGCAATGCAGGAACCAACAGGCTGGTCCTCACCAGGCAGTGCAGGGCGGAGTCCAAAGCCCTTGGCTGGCCCAGAACTCCAACAGGAGCTAACCACACAGACCTGTGTGCTTGTGGCAAAAGGCAAGGCCTCCCTTGCCTTGGGGGCGGGGGGCGGTGAACAGGAGCATGCCATCCTAATTGCCCCTTTGCTTGGGTACCTGAGAGAGCAGGATGGGCTGGACTGATGAAGCACTATTCCCTCATTTGGGGAGAAAAAAACGAGAAAACTGTCTGATCCCTTGACCCACAGGGTTCCTCTTCTACAACAATAGTAGCATAGTTCCAGAAAAGAATCCTCATCTCTGCCAATACCAGGGTGCCTCAAAGTCACACGCAGGTCCAAACCTTGCTTTGTCTTTGAACCCATGAAAGGTTCCCCAGAGGCCCTCCATGTCTCCATCCCAAGCCCCAAGACACAGAGCAGCCAGGAATCCATTGGACAGCCTCAGGCATTGGAAGTCTTCACACTCAGGAGCCCAGGCCCTATCCAACCCTCTGCTGTGGCACTAGGTCCCCAAACCCAATCCAACGGTACACCTCACACATAACACTCTCCCCTCAACCCTTGCCTTCAGCAAGTGGGCTGAGCAGTGGAGAAGTCTCCAGAACCCTTTTACCTGCTCCCTAGAAGCATGGCCCAGAGCTACACATCCCCAAGTCTTCCCATGGCTGCCAGGAGAGGTGCTCATCCCCCCTGGTATCACATTAGGCTCTAGGCTGGTGGGTGCCATGGGCCAGACCTTCAAAGAAAGTGCCCTAGAAGCACCCCCATTATGTGCTTCCTCTCCTTAGGGCCATCTGCCTCCCTGACTCAGAGCATCCCCTCCTTCTGTATGCCCCACCTCAACGAAGCACACTCCACCCAGGAAGCCCACATGGCTCACAGTGGACCCATTTGTCTGGAGAAAGCTATCCTCATGGCCAAGCTCTGCTGTCACTGGCATTGGGATTTGATCAGCCTCCTTGAGCCAATCAGATTCTCCTTCCCAGGAACCACAAAGCAGGACCTGGACCACAGAGCTCAATTCGTGGGGCTGAGTCACATAAATTGTCGTGCAAATGGCAGGTCCTGAAGCTCCTGGGATGAATCCCCAGAGCTTGGCAGGACTTTGCCCACCCCAGCAATGGGAGCTCAGGATTTTCCTTCAGTTGAGCTCCCTGGCCACTGCAGGGTCCTTCTACTACATTCCATTTGCCCCTAAAGCTAAACAAATATGACCTTGTTGCTCACACTCAATAGAAACTTAACCAACTATCCAGGGCTCCATCAGGGACTTGACCCCCAAAGTGGAATCAGCAACAAAGGGTATTTTTGCCCAACTTGTTCTCTGCCCCATTAATATCAGGAACCTCTTTAAGAAGAAGCCTGCGGCTAGGATTGGTCAATTAGAAATCTCTCACCATATGTTTCCAGAGAAACAAGTTAGAGAGACAGGACCCAAAGCCTCTTGGATACCCCAGGTCCCAGTGGGTGGCACATTGACTTCCAGACACCTTCTCCCCGCAGTGGCCACTGCTGAGCCATTCTGTGGTGGCTGGCCTTTCTTCTAGATGATGCCCCTTTCCCCCCAGGAGCCAGGGCGCTAAGGCGGCAACTTCTGCATCAGGGTCAGAAGCTCAAAGTCCCAGTCAATCAACCCCACTTGCAACCAGGGATCACATGACACACTTTATTTCCAGGAGGAAACTCGGACTTTCATATCTAGCACAACTGAAGGGCTGACTGTGGGGCTTTGCTCGTGGCACCAGGAACTACGGCCACTTGCGGAGTCAGAGCCGATATTTTCACTCATCATTGACAGCCTCCTTCTTCCCTTCAGCAGTGTCTCCCCCATCTTTCAGATTTTGGCGAGCAAACTCTTCAAAAACCAAATTTGCATCCTGAAAACTAAAAAGAAAACAGAGACACCTTTTTCAGTGCCCTCTCAGAGCTGAGGATGAAATATCAAGAGAACCAAGACCCTTGATCTTCTTTTGGCAGCAAAGGAATGAATCAAGGCTTTCCCCAGGATGGAACAGGGGCCCATGCCATTTTCCTCATGTTTTTTTCTTTTGTTTAAAAGATTTTTGGGGGGGTGGGGGGTACCAGGGGTTGAACTCAGGGGCACTTGACCACTGAGCCCCATCCCCAGCCCTATTTTGTATTTTATTAGTAACAGGGTCTCACTGAGTTACTTAGCGCCTTGCTAAATTGCTGAGGCTGGCTTTGAACTCTGGACCTTCCTGCTTCCGCCTCCTGAGCTGCTGGGATTACAGGCGTGTGCCACCGCACCCAGCCTGTTTAAAAGTTCTTTGACAAAAAGGAGAAAAGAAGAGAGCCCACAAGTGAGAGATACACCCAGCATAGCCCTTGGGAGCTAGGGGACACAAGGGAAGGGCACAGAGACCCCAAGCGGGGTCTGTACAGGAGGAGGAGTCACAGGTCAGAGAAACAGAGCGGAGATTGGTGGCTTACCTTTCCTTTGCTGTGAGCCCAGAAGGAAGGCGAGAGGGAGAGAGCAGAGAGAAGGAGAGGTTAAAATCAATTCCGCACCAAGCGCCTGGACTGTCTCTCCCTTCAGCTAAGCAGTTTGAGGGGTAGTAAGTTCTGAAGGCGTCTTTCTTGGTGGCTGGGTGTGACTTCTGTTCTTAGCCTTTCTCTCTGCATCTTTAGCCATCACTCTCTTTTGGTTTTGCCTTTGATTTTTGAGGGCACTGATGGAACCCAGGGCCTCATACAAGCTAGACAAGAGCTCTTCCTCTAAGCCACGCCCCAGCCCACCATCACTTTTTTTTACAGGGTGCCTGAAACTGCCATAATCTCACCTCTAAGACCTCTTCCCTGATTGTCCCCACCCTTTGTATGTCACTCCTCTTTTAAAAGTATTTCTCCTTAAGTGTCCTCTGGATCCCATTGAGGTCAGAGTCACATGGAGACTGACCATGCAGCTCCAGCACCAGGGGATGCTGGAGGATGATTCGTAGGGCCTGATGTATACCAATACCCTGGGTAAGGGTGTGCACTAACACCTGAGGACCACCCCCTCACGCCTCAGTTTGATCTTCTGGGGTCAGGTTAGGTTTTCATGTGGTTCATATCCCCAGATGAGTTGCTAACCATTAGAGTATGCTTTGCTCTTTTTTAGTTTTCTGGTCACCTAATAAAGTTCTGATGCAGTTAAAGAGTTTCAGAAACTGGGGAGCAGTGGTTTGATGGTGAACTTCTGTTTTTGTGTCTCAGGCCTACCTAGAAGCCAGTACAGGAGGGAATATCTGTGAGGACCACTGAGCACAGAGACCCAAAGAGAGCCTAACTCATCAAACTTTTCCCTGACAAGAATACCCTGGAGCCCTACAGTGCTGAGCAGTAAAACCCACTGACTGGGACCCTCATCCCTGAAAAGGCAGTCAACAGGACGGATCCAATCAACACTCTGGGGTTTGGTGGATGCTCTTGGCAGCAGACAACAAAAACACTTTTACTTCCTCAGCACTTGCTAGGTACAAATTGTTTGGCCCCTGGCTCTGGCAAGGCCTAACTATAAATCATGGTTTCTTTGCTTAGAATCTACCACCTCTACTCAGGGAGTCAGGAACTAGGCAGAAAATGAGAGCCATGAGATTTGGTCACTCTTAGGTCTCAGGAAATCAGACTTTTGTAACCACAGGATGATTTGTCCTAATTCTTGCCTCCAAAATCTCAGAGGACAAAAGATTTTATTGTTTTGTCCTGACACGGTGAGATGTCCAGTGTAAGGGCCATAGCAACAGAAACATCAAAATGATACATGGGAAGGAAGAGTAACTCTTCGGCAGCAAAGGAACCGATCAAGGCTTTCCCCAAGATGGAACAGGGGCCCATGCCATTTGCTCCTGTTTTTCTTTGCTTAAAAGTTCTTTTTTTTTAAGAGAGAGAATTTTAATATTTATTTTTTAGTTCTCGGCGGACACAACATCTTTGTTTGTATGTGGTACTGAGGATCGAACCCGGGCCGTGCACATGCCAGGCGAGCGCGCTACCGCTTGAGCCACATCCCCAGCCCCCTGCTTAAAAGTTCTTTAACAAAAAATTAACTCACAAAGTCTGCCTAAAGCTCTTTGGGTGGTTATCATTTGAATGTCCTTAAAAGAACAATTGAAGATTGGGTCCACATTTTCAAGACTGAATCTGTGTTTTCCCGGCTTAAAGTCCTAATTACTCCCAAATAAATGTAAAAAATAAAGACTATTTTTATGATACAAGCATAAGTGAATTAAAAATGTAAGATTAACTATTTAACCAGAAGCTTTTGCCAATGTGCATAGAGAGTTTGAATCTAAAATATTTGGAAAAGATATTTGGAGACAAAATATTTTGAGTCAAAACCTAAAATGAATA